ATTTATTTTTTTTTTTGGGGGGGGGAGGGTTGGTTAGTGTTTTACGGCACTCGCAACTGCACAAGGTTATATGAGCTGGCGGGACAAATTAAACTTTTTCAGTTGGTAGGAAATTTTGAATTTTGCCCGGGCGGCGGTCGAAGCCTACTTTAATCGATTTTAGACCACCAATGGATCTTTAACGTGCGCTACTTGCACACGGGCCCTCAGAGATTTTTCGCCTATGTCCGAGAAGTCTAGGTGTAGATATTTCCTACCAGAAAATCAGGGGTGTGGCTGAAAGACAGGAGTAAGAAAGAGCCAAGGAGAAGCAGTAGAAAGGCTGCAGAAAGAGTCAGGAGCCCAGAGGAGGGGGCAAAAGAGGTGAAGGGGTGGTGGCAGAAAGAGGAGACGAAAGCAGAGAACAGAACATTGCTAGAGAGCAGGAAAGGAGGTGAAAGGAGACAATTAAGAACTTTTTTTTCGATCGCTGCCCGGATATGAACCCAGGACCTTTGAATGAGAGGCGAACACCTTAACCTCTAGTTCACGAGAGCCCCCCTTCTCGTGTGAGGATTATTTTTCATCGAGTATCTCGGTCTGTCTGTCGGGAATCTTTTTCTCTCTCTACCCGGGTTTGTCCTGATAGGCAGGCTGGAAGCCTGCGTCCCTAATGATTATAATCACAATTACAATTTTAAAGATAAAACAATTCTGTCTTGGGGTACATTTTAAACAAGTATGAACAAACAAACATGGTTCTGCTCACATACGGCATGGTAGATTGAATTATATTTTTAAAGTTCATACAACTACCAACAGACGTTACAGCACAGTTAATGGCGGAAAAGGGGGGGGGGGGTCCACTGGTAGCTGCTACTTCTTTACTTTCCCTCAGTTGTTTTTTTCTGCGTGTCTGTCTTACACTTTCCCACCACTAAGTGATCATAATTACGTCGATGTGTTTCACTTCACTCAAACAAACAACAAAAATGAAAGCGTCCCCCCGCGTTTGGTACAAAACACTATGGATGTCGTAAGCAGGCCGTGACCTTAAAACGGCGCACCGCCTGGGAATACAGAGCCAAGCGCGGTTCAAATGAGGCCGATTCAGGTTTGCTGTACGGCTAGTTCCGTGGTTCCGTGGTTCGTGCCTCTCCCTCCATTGGTGAGCGGCGCGGAGCGAGTGCTGAATAGGCAGGCGGGCGGAGAGAGTCGTTCAAAGAAAGAGCTGAACAGCGTGGAACCGCCGTTTTCCCCTAGAGGCCGCAGAAGCAGAACAGAGACAGATGGGGTAGAGAGATGATGATATTCAAAGAGGCTGAGGTAGCTATACTTTACGACATGAATCCTCTTGGATGTCTTTTATAATAATAATAATAATTATTATTATCATTATTATTATTATTATTATTGTTATTGTTGTTGTAGCTGTTGTTAGTGTTATTGTTGTTATTGATGTTATTGTTACTATTATTATTGTTATAGAAATTACTATCATTATTATGTTATTTTTAAAGCATCACTTCCTCTTATATATTGCCTCATAAGATGGGCAGTACGTGCATGCCTGTACATCAAATACTAAATAAGCAGTACACGTAATAGAACAATGTCTTTTGAATTACAGGAGAACTAACATCAGTGTTGAGATATTATGGATTTTACCCACACTAATTACTATGTAACATAATAACAACATCATTTGCCTTATATCAGCTATCCAGTGCAAATAGATTCGCACTTAGGATATGGGATGATATTCAAGATTTGTACGTTACTCTGCAAATTTTGTTGTCCATTTTTTCAGCATCACAAACTTGTTTATAACCTCACTCCCATATTATTTATTGGCAAAGTATTTGTCAACCCCCCCCCCCCCCCCACCCCACCCCACCCCCAATCTCCAAACTAAGCAGAAATTATGCACCATTCATGAAATAAAAGTTTGTTTATGAGTATGACGGATTTGCAGGGTTTACGTAGAATTTTATTATGAATGTAAACACACGAGTGATTCCGTGCCCAAGCCAAATTTGTGTGCCGTATATTAAATCGGTCTAAAAAGATTATCCGCTTTAAAACCTTTAAGCCGTATAGAAAAGCCTCATGAATAAAGACGACCCAATTGCTTTTGGATAATTCTAGACCATTCGACCAATTCAGATGAATCTAGATTGCTGACAAAGTTTAGAGATAATGTTGATTACGGTGACTTTTCTTATCAGTTTTTGTGGGTGTTTTATTGTTTTGTTTGTCTTTGGTATATATGTAAAAATATCTCCCCTGATATATTGTGGTTCACAAGTCTTTATCCCATTAAACTCATATGATAGATGGGCATTTTAAAATAGTTTATCCCCACTTAGTTTTAGGTTTTGATTTAACAGCCATACCCCCTTGTTTGTCGTCTTCTTCATGTGAGTCTGCTGAGGCCATACTTGCAGTACATACAAATACCAGGGACCTGAAAAAATCATAAATGTTATGGTGCATGTTTGGACAAACTTATACTTGTACCAGTATTGTTAACTTACATTATATCAGTATTATTGCTTTATGTAGTAGTGAGTCAACAATGAAGACCCATGAGGCTTTACGTAAACTCTTTTGGCCTGCTGGTTCTGGCGACTATGGTGTAGCGGTTTGACGTTTCGTCGTTGCACGCAAAAGACCTGAGTTCGGAGGTTTTTTCTCTTTTTTTTATAGAGTATCTTGGCCTATCAGCCGGGACCTTATAGCCCTCTCAGCCCAAGTTGGCCCTGACAGGCAGGGTCAATGCTTGTTTCCTAAGTTATATGAACTGTGCTTTTGGGAACGTTAAACTCCCACATTAAACAAAGCAAAGCAACCCCAAAAATGCAAGGCAGACGACTTCACTCTCTTGGCATGCCTGTTCCCTCATCCATCTTTCAATTTATCTGGAGGAATACAAGGAAAAAGCTCATTTAATCCATCTCCACAGTTTCTCCACTTCCCTTTCACGTGTACATCTGGGTGGACTGAGAAATTAGGATTGTGAAGACTTGCCTTCCCTGAGGTTAGAACGTCCTATTGGAGGAACAGGTTTATGGCACTCATCCTTTTTTGTTTTTGGGTTGTTTATTTTTTGTTTCGTTTTCTTTTTTAGTGCAAATCCCAAGCCTTGCCTATCAACTTGAACTTGAGAATGAAATAGTCTGCTCAGGGAAAGTGGAGTCTGTTATGCCACGGTTAGTTTTTAGTGAGAGACAAAGCACTGGATAGAGCACGGAAAAATTATAAGAATAGAGTGGTAACATATTGAATAGACACGCCCATCACAAACATGAATCTTTTTTATTGGGGTTTTATTTTTGTTTGTTTTGTTTAGTTTTGCTTTGTCCGTTTGTTTGTTTTTTGGTGGTGGGTTTTTGTGTTTTTGTGTTTTTCCTTTGATGGAAAGTGTTTCGACACATTTATGGTCATTAAAAATATTACAATTAAAGATCAAGACAGACAGAGAGGAATAACAGAGGGAAATAATGAAGAATGATGCGTCAATGGTGTCCCCTAACTACCAGTATGTCGTCTATATTTCTTAATTTCGTGACTGGTTTGATAAAGGTGAACAGTTTCTCAACGTCGCTCCGTCTGTCGTGTTCCTAACTCTGTGTGGAGAGTGCTGGCAGTCCAGACACGCCGCACGTTCAAGCGAGCGGAGCGACAGCGCGGCGCACTGGTGCGGTGTGGTGTGGTGTGGTGTGGGGTGCGTCCGAGCCTCCGCGGCGCGTGGAATACCGGGGGAGAGTCCGATATCAATCGTTGCTGTACAGAACACATTGTCGAGCGGGGGCGCCGCCGGGTTGGCTAGGCCTGAGTGTAGTTTGTGGTAGCAGCCTCATCGATGCGGCGCGTTTTTCCCTCCGTAGCTCTACTGCGAGGGGTGTTGTTGAGTTGTAGGGTTTGTTAGCAGTCTGTGGATAGCGCGACGTCGGCCCTTGTCTTGGTGTTCGTGCGTTCGTGTTTACCTTCGGTTTTTCTGCAGTGAGTGGAATACTCCAAAGCCGTGATATTGGGGAACAATTTCGAAGCCTTCAGAGATACCCGGATTTGTTTTTGACCACAGTGTTTCTAATCTCATTCGATTTAAGGGATTGCTACAACTGTATTCAGTGAAAGAAAACCGATCTTCCTTTCTTTGTGATGTGGTGCAATATTATAGCATAACCTATGCCGGCGAATCTGTGGAGTACGTTATATTCCGTGGAACGCGGATACATTTTTTCTTTACTTTTGTGGCGGAGATGATACCCCGAAGACGTCCGACATGAGATGCGGGGTCGGGGTCTGTGTGTGGGGGAAGGGGGTGGGAGTGGTTTTGCTAGTGGTCATCTTCAGCAGTCAGGTCCACACGACCTTTACCTGCCCCAAGGACTGCTTCTGTGCTCCACACAGCAAGAATGTTCAGTGCGCCAACAAAGAGTTCCAGAAGATCCCCGACGGAATACCCACCGAAACTCTCGAGTTAAATCTAAATGAAAACAAATTCAAAAACACAGCGTTGACGAGGCGAAACTTTACGGAATTATATAACTTAGAACGTTTGTACATGATCGACTGCGGCATCGAGACCATTGCGGTGGAGACGTTCGCCGATCTAGTGCAACTGTCATGGCTCGATCTGAGCAAAAACAATATCCGGTTCATCGCGGACTACACATTCCGAGGTTTGCATCTAAAGCATCTGTTCCTCAACGACAACAACGGTATTCAGCTATCCATCGGTGCCTTTGCTGGAATGACCACTCAAGGACTGTACATGCACAACTGCGGGCTACGGAGGCTGCCAGTCGACCTGATGACGCCGCTCAACGGCTCTCTAAAAACTCTGTGGTTGGATGGTAACAATTTCGAAGCTTTCAGTGATAAGTGGCTTTACTTTTTTCAGAATCTTGCTCACATTCGCCTTGGAGGCAACTCTTTTCATTGCAACTGTGAAATACATTGGTTTTATGCCTTTTTCAAAAAGTCGCGAACCTCTTTGTTCGCTGGCCGCGAAC